GATTAATATACGCTATAGTTTAAACCAGGCCCGATTTAGCTTATTTTATAATATATTTAGCCAGATATATGCAGAACCTATCGAAAACCACGATAAAAAGGGTAAAAAGGGTATTTAATTATTTAAAATCCTATTATTATTTTAGAATTATTTTTAACGGGAAAATAAAACCCGGATTAATAGGTTATTCCGATGCCGATTTTGCTAGTAATTACGAAACCCGTAAATTAATATCCGGTTATTTATTTATTTTAAATAACGGACCGATAAATTAGAAATCGAAACGGTAATTTATAATTTCTTTATTAACCACCGAAGCCGAATTTAACGGGTTAAAGCAGGTTACCCGTAAAATAATATAGCTAAAAAATCTTTTTACGGAAATCGGTATTAATATAAATACCGTATTAATTAAAAAAAATAATACGGGGGCTATAAATTTGGTATATAATCCGGAATATTACTAACGTACTAAATATATTATTATACGGTATTTTTATATACGGTAAAAAATTAAAAATAAAAATATTCGAATCGAATATATTTTAACTAACGATATACCAGCAAACGGCCTTATAAAGCCATTTCCTAAAAATAAATTTTAAAAATTTATTAAATTATTAAATTTAACCGATATTATTTAATAAAAAAAGTATTGCACGAATATTAATATAATATCGTATAATGCATAAAATTAGCTTTATAACGCATATTATATCGTTATAATAGCTATAAAACCTATCGAAATATCGTTAAATAACGATATATAGGAAATCAGTAAAACTTACCTTATATTAATTTATAATTAATACAGCACCACTTATAGCCATTATTTATAATACTATATAATTAACAAATTATTATAATTAACTATTATGGCTATTATGGCCACTGGAACCCACTGGAATCTAGTAGAATATTCCACTAGATTAAGCCCCACTAAATATAGCCAGTGCACCTAGCTATAATAGTCCCAGGGTTATAAGGTAACTTATACCGTAAAAATTTATAAAATTTTATAGTTTCTTTAATTATAAATTAACCTTATTATTAATTAACTTAATTTATAATTTAATTTATTAATAATATATTCTAAAATATTTTTATTAGTTAATTTTATAAATATAAAAAGTAGTTATTCCTCCGTAATTAGTTATTCTTTCCTTAAGCTTCAATAAATCAGTTATACAGCCCTATAACTACTTTTACGGCCTAATTCTACGAATTATAAAGAACGCTTCCTTATAACTAAGTTATATAATCCACCAATTATACCTTAAAACATTTTATATATTATTTTTTACGAATATTTAAAAAACGCAAAAAACGCGCCTAATCCGGTTAACGTAATAAGGTCTTTATTATAATATATATAGCAACGATTACGGTATAAATTTAAATTTATAAAAAGCTAAATTTAGGATTTTAATTATAACGTTATTCCCGAAAATATTACCAATTTTAAAAACGGCCTTATTAAACGAAAACGCGGCCGCCTTAAAAAAACCGACGTATATTAAACTTAAATACTTAAAGCTTTTAAAAATAACAATTTTATTTATTATACCCTTTAATAAAAAGGCAAGCTTTTAATTTTTTTTTTCGATTAGCGTAATAAATTTCGCAAATTAATAAAATATACGTTTACGTTTTTTTTTTAAAAAGGCGTATAAAATTAACGAAATTAACGAATTTAACTTTTACGATTTTTCGGCTAATAAACTTCGCGAATTAAGCCTCGGCCTTAGCCGTATTAAAAAAAGCGATAGTAACGATAATAAAAATAAAAATAAGCGCCCCCGTCCTTAAAATTCTTTTACGGCGGCAAATTTTAATAAAAGCGATAATTAGCTATTTAGCTTTATAGCTATATATAAAAAAAACGAGCTATATAAAATATTAAAAATAAATTTACTAAAAAATCCTATATTTAAAAAAGTTATAACTAGGCTAAAAAAAATTAATAATAAAAGGCGATTTATTAAAAAATCTTAAAAAATATATAAAAAAATACCTTTTAATTTATATAAAAAAATAAAACCGATTATAATTACCTTATTAATAGCAAATAAATACTAAAAAAAGTTTAATAATAATGGCACGCTTAAAAAATATAAAGCGCGTATTATAACGCGTAAATTTATATAGCGCCTAAATATTAATTATAGCGAAATAATCGCAATTATAATAAAAGCCGCTTTGTAAAGGATATTAATAGCTTTCGCCGCTTTAAAAAACTAATTTATTTTACAAATTAACTTTATATTTATATTTTTTAATAATAACTTATATAAAAAAATTTATATAAAGCAATTTTTCGGCTTATTATAATTTTTCGAATAATTTATAAAGCTAGCGCGTAAAAAGGGCTATTTAAAAAAAATTATCCGGATCTTAAACCCGTTATACGGGCTAAAGCAAGCAGCTATTAAATAATAACGCAAAGCGAAATCGCTAATAAAAAAGCATAAATTTATCCTTTTTATATTTAATAACGCGGTATTTTATAATTTATAAATAAAAAATATCGTAGCTATATATATAAATAATTTTTTATTATTTAAATTAAATAAAAAGCGCCTTAAAAACCTTATCGGTTTATTTAAAATTAAAATCGAGCTAAAAGACTTAGGAAATATAAAATAATTTCTTAGTATAAGGATCCGGCGTAATAATTTTATTAAAAATATTAAAATTAACGTCGAATAATATTTTAATAAAGCATTTAATTTTTATAATTTTACTAAATTTAAAAAAAAAATAATAAACCCGATAAATCCGGGAATGCTATATAAAACCTATTTAAATAAAAATAAGGCTATAATTAAAAAAATTTATAATTATATATTAATAATTAGCAAATTTAATTTTTTATTTTATATATTAAAGGTAAATACGGTATTTATAATATTTATATAGGCTAGATTTATAATAAATCCCTTATAAATATATTAATAAAAATTAAAAAAGTGCTATAATATTTAAAAACGAATATTAAAAAAGCGATTAAATATCGTAGCTTAAAAATAAATAAAATTATATATTTATATAAATAATATAATAAATTAGGATTATTCGGGGCTATAAATTTTAATTATACTTTAAATTTAAAAAAGTTAAAATTAATTACCGGCTACGTATTTTTTATAAACGGAAAATTAATTTTATAGCGATTATATAAATAATTATTTATAATAAAAGCATTTACGGCAGCAAAATATATAGCTATTTTAAAAGCTGCAAATAAAGCTATATAAATTAGAAACTTCCTAATTAAGCTTAAATTAATACCGGAAAATCCGATTACGCTGCTTAAAAATAATATTAAAGCTAAAAAATAAGCCGAATTTATAAATATAATAAAAAAAAAAGCACCTAAAGCTATATATATACGCTATTCGTAATAAAATTATAAAAAGCAAAATTAAAATAAAATAAACACCAACGAATTTAAATTTAGCTAACGGATTTATAAAGCCATTTAATAAGAATAAATATTAAAAATTTATTAACTTATTAAGCTTAAAAATTTACGAATAACTTTAGCGGCCTAACGAAAAAGCGTATTAACGGAAAACGCTAAGGCCTGCTAATACTTATAATTAATAAAAGATCGTAAAAAAATCTAAAAGCGGCTATAGCCGGGTGCCTACGGATTTATTACCGTAAATAGCTATATAAACGGGAAATTAGCAGTTTTTAGGCTTATAAATAATTATTATATCGCATCCTTTAATTAATTCCCTTTCTGCCATCGTTTATACAGTTCTGCAGTCTCGTGAACCTCGTAAGATTGTTCATATATTATATTAAAATAGGCGGTTTTTTTTCTCGATCCTATTTGCGAGCTCTCAACCGAAAGCAGAAACAAGTGGTTCAGCTGCGTCATAAAACTACATGTCCTTCGTGAAGGTTAAAAATGCAGTGAAAGAATCCTTGAAATCTAACGTTAGCCAATCATCAAGATCAAGACAGAGATCAATGACAGCCCATGGACATGGGGAAACCCGTAATTATTCGGCCGAGGAACGAAATTTCTAGGCAAGAAACGAGGGACTCCACAAATATAAGTGAAATGGCTCTCTAGCTCTGCAGTCATCTTCAGTGAGGATGCTTTATCTTTTGCTTGCGCTGCTGAGAACAACTAAGAAATTCCTTTATCGCAATAATTGCTTGTTCCTCGAGATTTATATTATGCTATTAATCATGCTGTATCTGAATCATAAATCCTACGCAAATTACATTTCAGTGTAGTCGTGAATTGACCATGTATGTGTATTTGCCGAGCTTCAACCCCTTTTGTATGTTATTAGTGATGGGAAGCTTATAATTGGGTTCACGTCTCCAGCGTATCCCAAGCTTTCACCAGCGTGCTCAGACTCACCGAAAGGCGAAAAGATACCTATTGGAACAAAGTGCTTGATCGATGAACTCAACAATCCAACGAATACGAAATGAAATCTGCGCCAAGTGGTGGTTCTCTCCTTTGTTGGCGCTGAAAATGCAGTGGGAAAAAAAAGTGTGGCAGTCAGAGGGTGTTTAGTTTATACGCTGCTGCTAGGGACAAACACCTTCTTCGTTAGGTTGAAAATTGCAGTGAGAAATGCGGCCCGTTGTAAGTGCAATGTGACTTCTAAGCCATGTATAAGCCGTAAACTCGTTTAGGAATGCCTTATACTATTGCAGACTAGCAGAAGTGTACAAGATATATTGAAAACAAAAGACGAAGAAACAAAACCCCGTCTATAAACTCCACGAAGAGCATATTTAATACCTAGTGTACATAGTTTTCCCAGCCCAAAAACTGCCCTTGAGAGTAATTGTACAGTGGTATCGAAATCTATCCAGTTTATAATTGTTTTGCCATCAATTTCCCTTTTTGACTCCCATCGCTGTGCAGTGCGGAATGAACGCGCGGCCGTAAACATTGAAAAGAAAAAAAAGATGAAAGTCGAAACCCCCCCAAATCGAGAAAAAAAAAACACATGATTGAAAACAAATCAAGACAAATGTCTATACCAGTCTTCCCGACTGGCCGAGCGCTTGAGCTCACCAATAGTGAGCCCGCGCTCGAGATCAGGCGCCGACTCTTGCGTGACCTCGACGCTGACCGTCTTGATGATGCCCATGGGCCAGGCTTCGGCACCGCCGGCCACGTCTCGAATGGACTGGGCCTCGAAGCTGTCCCTCGAGGGGCTCTCGAGCACAAATTTGGACCCGGTGCTGTTTCGTCGCGACGGCCGGCTGAGCTTGGAGGGCTCCGAGGCGCGCGACAGGATCGAGACGGCGTCGTCGTTTTCCCGGGCGCTGGCTGCGGCGCTGAGGGCTTGGCTGATGGGCCGGATGCGGTTTGAGAAGAGTGTTGCAATGGGCATGATATTGGCGGCAATGATATTAAGGCTTTGCACCAGACTAATTATAGCGTTAGTACATTGTTATGGTTGGACAAGTGGTTGAGATACTCACACTGCTAGTATTGTACAAATGACTTGATATGAAAAGCTTTCATTAGAGGTTACAAGTGAAATGTTATACGTCCTGACGATTGAAAGTATAGTAATGCTAAACGAAAACCCATGTTAGTAACTCTCGATCACCATGCCGAAGAGCTGGGGAAATAGATTGTACTCACACAACGCTGGTGATGGAAAGGATATAAAAAGGCAAACGGAGACCACGCGAAATTCCCAAGTCACGAATGACCATGAGAGGAAAGAGGGCGATAAACAGCCCAGAAAACACATCATAAGCGCCTTGGAAATATTCAATGCCATGCTGAACTTCCATGCCCCAGCACTCTCCATCCACTGACATGTTCCACAATTTTTCGAGGGGGCGACACTGCAGCAGCGTTGTGAAGCAGTATATCAGGGAAACGAGGACAATCATGGAGGCCTGTGCTCCCAGTACAATCTTCCAAGCCCTAATTCGAGACACGAGTCGGAGAAAGAAGAGGCATATGGACACCTTGCTCAGTGCCGAGGTCAGTGAGAGCCAAGGCTGGGAAAGATAGTCGAACTTGATGACAGTAGTCATGTTTTCTTGGTTGGCTCCTTCGACGAGGGTCATGATGGCGCCGATCAGTCCAAAAAGCTAGCACTCAATATCAGAACCCAGGTCTCCACTCAATTGATTTCTGTAAAACGCCAAAAGAATATTGGTGTAACTCACCATGGCCACTCCCAAGACCAAGTCATCCCACACGACCTTTCGATTGATTCTCACTCTAACACAGAACCGGAGTATACTGGTCAAGAGTGCCAATGCAGTCATGGTCACTGATACACCGAGCAGTGCCGGACCCTGTGTCACGTCGGGCACATCATTGCCTGGTCCCAGTCCAGACATTGCCACGACAGCGAGGGAGGGTTTGATAGAGGCGGTCGGGATTGGGTTTTTGTTTTATTACGGATTCGTTGTCGAGTCGTTCATGGCGTTAGCCCGAGTGCCTGGGTCCGTCTTCTGATGAATGTGTTTCGTCTACCCTTCTTTTTGGACCCAAAGGTAAAAAAGTCTCTTGCAAGAGAATATATTTGTACGAGGTGAGACTGTCGAAGAAGCAAATACGAGAACGTCCGTGAGCTAGGGCTGAAGCTGAAGAATAAAATGACACGAGAGAAGTAGTATTAAAACATAGAGAAGAGTTGAATCCTTCCCGGCGCGGCATCCGCGGTGTGGGGACTTGGGCTAGTCATATACCCTAGAAGACTTCTAGAAGCCAGAAGCAGGAAGAGAAAAGCAACGCTGTTAATCACAAGTATGGGGAAGAAAAGCAGAGAAGCAGGGAAGCAGGGGGGGTTTGTGAAAGACAGGGATAAAGGTGTATGTATGCAGGGGGGTTTAGTATCCCAAGATCGAAATATTTTCCTAACCTGCAACCAAGATAAACAGGAAGGCCGCAGGAAAGAGTGGAAAAATAAAAGAAGAGAATCCACAATAATATTGAAGCCCACGAGGCACGTACAAGAAGAAAAGAACAACAGGTAAGGCCCAGATTAGACAACAACAATATTATCCTGAGGAAAGCCAGAAAAGAAAGCAGTACGTCCAGTCCCAAGCAAGGATTCTTGCAGTCTTCAGTGGGGGCAAGTAATCTACTGTATGCAAAGAGAACTTGACAGGTCACGCACCATTTCATGATGCCCCATGTCACTTTTACAGCGTGTGCGTGTGCGTGTGCGCGCGCGCGAACTCGAACATGCCGCCCGCCCCTACTTTGTATGAGAATAAACTGCATCGGCACAATCAGGCTAAAACGGCTCTTGCAATCAGTACATCATGCCATGATGAAATAGTATAGGTGGTGAAAAAGCACGAGGGCAATCAGTAGGGGAAGGGGCCGGTTTGTCTCGAAACTTGTGATGGAGGGAGGGGACCCAACGACCAACGAGGGAGAGAAGAAGAAAAAGAATAGCAACAACAACAATAACAGTACTCAGGCCGAGCCAAGACGCGTACATGAGTACGCACATGAATTATTCCGACTTGATATTATTATGAGCGGCTCATTAAGAATTAAGGGAGGGGGGCGAGCGCTAAAAGGCTGAAAGCGGCAGCAGGCCGGGGGGGTGCCTTGGGGCAAGAAGACGGCCTTGAGAGCTGCAGGTGTCGTCGCACATATGTGGATGGAGGGTGGGTTTGAATTATGCTGGACGGTGCTAGGGTAAAGGAGAAAGTACTACAGGCACAAGATACTGTATGCAAGAAGAGAGAGAGAGCAATAACGACGAGCTTGCTTCATGCATCGGCGTATATGCCGGTACCCCGTTCCAAACATCCCCGGAAGTGGAAAGCCAATGCAGAACGTTGCCTCATAGGGAAGACAGCAGCGAGAAAGAGATCGGCCTAAGCCGTTTGGTCTGTCTGCCTGACCACGTGTCTGTGTGAAAATGAATTATTTTCTTCTTCTTTTCTCTCCTCTTTGTCAGCTGCTGGGCCATCTCATTGGAGAATTGGGAGCTGAGCTTACAAGGCCCCGGCCCAAAATGAACCCCATTTCAGCCGACTTTAGAGCAGATAGATTGGCCATGGTGTTTACCTGACCTCGCTAACGCCGCGCGATTCGGGAAGGTATAGCAGCCAACGACAGATCATAGCCTTAAACTGCCACCTAAAGGCAGTCAATCTGTCATGTAGAGTGGCTGACCACCTCCGAGAAATACTCCACGCTCTTTTGTGTCGTCCTATTGCTCCTCTGCCGTACTTGACTCGAAGAAAGCCATTGGTTGTTGCGTGCAAGATCTGACGCACCCTCATTGATTGAACGTAACCGGAAGCAGAACAGTATTTGGGAAATTTTGGGCAAGAGAAGTTTGAGATCGTATGATCGACGCCTAGTTATGGAAGCTGTTCGATGGTGTCCACTGGGAATAGGTACAACCAAATCCCAAGCACAAGCACAAGCCCCCCCGCAAAACTGCTACAGT